CAAGAAAAGTTACAGAGAATCTAAGTTGAAAGAATGTTAGACAACAACACAAAATCATACATAAATAAAAAGCTCTTGGGAAAAGGTAAATTTATATAAATATATACAGAGTCCTGGAATATTCTAATGGTAGTGCATAAGTCTGTGTTATTTCTAGCATAGAATTAAAAGTTAAATTCATAAAAAATATGTCTATAAAAAAACCTATGTTAATGTATACAAAGCAGAAGGTGTAATTTGACATCAATAACAAAGTAAGGGTGGGGGACTAAAAGGGCAGGTCTGTATATGAATTTGTCACCTAAAATAGATTATTAAACAATATAATGCAATATGTAATCCCTGTAACAACAAAGAAACTAAAGAAGATACACGAAAGTAAATGAAAAAGGAATTGAAGCATGTCAGCACAACAAATGGACAAAACACAAAAGAGAAAAAGAGGGACAGAACAGGTACAAGACATACAGAAAACAACAAAATGGAGGAAAGTAAGTCTTGCTCTATCTATGATTACATTAAAAGTAAACAAAATAAACTCCCACTATCATAAGACATAAGGGGCAGAATGAATTAAAAAAACAACTATATACTATATGCTGTCAACAAGAGATTCACTTTAGATATAAGGACACACAAATGCTGAAAGTGAAAGATTAGAAAAAGATACTCATGCAAATGATTACCAAAAGAGAGTAGAGGTAGCCACGTCTATGAGACAAATATGGCTTTAGAACAAAAACTGATGAAAGGGCTAATTTACCAAGAAGCTATAATAATTAAAAATATTCAGGTACCTAATATATTCAGGCACCTAAATATAAGAAACAAACAGTGACAGAACAAAAGGAGAAACAGACATTAAGATAGTAATAGGAGATTCCAATACCCTAGTTTCAATAATGGATGGAGCCAAGACAGAAAACCAATAAGGAAACAAAATAATTGAATAATAGTATACACCAACTGGACTTAACATATAAAAAACACTCCATCTAACAACAGCACAATCCATATTCTTCAAACACAAATGTAATTTTCTCCAAGACAGATCACATTAGGACAAAAACAAATCTTAAATTTAAGACCACTGATATCATACCAAGTATCTTTTCTAGTTTCGAAGGAATGGAACTAGAAATTAAGAATAAAAGCAAAAATGCAAAATTTGTAAATATCTGGAAATTAAATAACACAAACAACAAATAAGACAAAAGTAACAAGGGAAATTGGAAAATGCCTTCAGAAAAAAATCAAAAACACAATATAGCAAAACTTATGGGAGGTAGAAACAGCAGTGTTGAGAAGTGTATAGCTATAAAACTGTGTATTTAAAAAGATCTGAAATCAATAAAGAACAAACTAAACCCAAAGTTAACAGAAGGAAAAAAATAATAAAGATCAGAATACAAAAAGCCAAAAGAGAAAACAAGAAATCCCCAAAAGTAAGTTTGATTTCTGGAAAGATCAACAAATTATAAAAACCTTTAGACAGACTAAAAAATGACTCAAATAACAAAAATCAGAAATGAGAGATGTTGCCACTAACACCATAGAATCAAAAGCACTTGTAAGAGACTACTATGAACAATTACATTTCAACAAACTGGAAACCTAAGACAGATGGATTTCTACAAACATAATACCTTGTAAGACTGAATCGTAAGAAATTAAAGATCTGAACACACATTTAAATATTGATAAGACTGACTCAGTAATCCAAAATCTCCCAACAAAGAAAAATCCAGTAACAGATGTTTTCACTGGTTAGTTCTACCAAACATTTAAAGAACAATTAACACCAATCCATTTTAAAGTCTTCTAAACATACGTATCTAGGAATGGGATGGATCCTGGTAACTCTGTATTTAACCATTAGAGGAACTGCCAAAGTGTTTTTTCAAAGGGACTGCACCATCATACATTTCCATTAGCAATGTATGAAGATTCTAATTTCTCTATATTCTTGCAAACATGTTTTCTATCTTTTTGATTACAGCTACCTACTGGGTAAGAAGTGGTTATCTCCTTGGAGTGGGAAACATTTATGCTATAAACAATGGATATTCAATGTATACTTACTAAATTAATGTATGAATAGGACATTTATGTGCCAGGTCATTCTGCTAAAGAGAGATACAACATGGAATATAATAGTCTCTAACATGAGAACTGAAAATAAATTTTAAGACAAAAAAATAACTATTATTTAGTTGTGTCACATAAGCATCAAGTGCTTTGACACACCAGGAGAAAGGTAAAACTTCACTTCTGCTAAGACCAGGGAAGACTTTCAGATGGAATGAAATAAGTATATGAGCAAAGAGTAAGAAACAGCAATGAGCTTAAGTGATATTTATTTTCCACAGTGACATACTGATCCAAGGCAAAGAGTAAGGCCTAATGAGACACAACGTTGGGCAAGTGATCTATCTTATCAAGAAACAACAGCAATTATAGCAAAGAGAGCCAACAATAGGTTAGAAGAGGGACTCTGTTCAAATTTATCCACTCTGCCAAATAAGGCTGTTCTCTTGTCTGTAAAATATTATCCTGGTAACCCTTACAAGATGGTCTGCTATTTAAATAACACAAAACGCTTAAAGAAAACCACACATACACCCCTAGATATTCCTGAATATCTGAGAGACATCAATGAAAACTCTTGAAAATAAAGAAAATTAGATTTAATGCTACAGGGAAACAGTTTCTGAAGGTTTTCAGAAAGATGTTAAGATGATAAAATTGGCAAATGAGAGAGTTGAAAAGGAAATACTGTTACGAAAAAGAAAGAGCTAGAGGGCTATTACAGTCATTAGAACTTGAGGCCGTTAACAGCATGACTCAGGACAGTGAGAAGATGAAAATAGACTAGTTGTGGCTTAGAAGAAAAAGCAACAAAATTTTGAGGCAGAAATGGTTCTTAAGGATAAAAGAAAAAAATATATCAAAGGTAACACCAGGTCAAATACAAAAGGTGATGTCACAAGACAGAAAAGCTGAGAGAAGATAGTTTTTTGTAGCATCTCCCTTACAAGATGGTCTGCTATTTAAATAGCAGTGAGTTTAGAGGCTAAAAGCGAGTTCAATTTTGACAACTGGCATGGAAATGACAGTTGAGAACAAAGTAAAAATGTCCAGTTTGCAACTAAGAAAAAAATCAAGAGCAATGGTGTTCAACCCTATATCTTTGTCAACCTGTGAAACATTTTTTAAATAGAGATGCCCTTTTCTACCTCCCAAATCTTGTAGTAATATGTCCATTTGGCAGAAGATAGGTCACATAAGGAATCCTGCCTGTAGAGGACTCTTTTTTGGAAATGCAGCCTTCCATTTTTCAACCTTTAAAAAACACAAAAAGGTATACCAGAAGCCTGTGGAAGTGGTGTTTAGTTGAGTTATATGCTACACTGGCCTTTGTGTCTCTTCTCACAGACTTCAAGAGCATGGCTCCTAACAGAATAAAGTGTCTGAGTTTCTGACTCCAATTTTGACAATAGTTGTGTGTATACACTTTTAGGGTGAAAAAGTTTTAAGTTGTAAGAGCATGTAACAGATACTGGATTTTAAAGAAAATATTTACCCCGATTTGATCAGGAGTATCTGTCAAGGTGAAAGAGGGTGAAAAGTGACATCCATTCCTTTCATTCATAACTTAAAGTTATAATAATTTCACATTTATTTGTGGGATCACTTGACTAATGTTAACGCTATCCTTCAGAATATAGGGAATATGTCTCCTTCTGCACCATACTAATTAACTGACACACAGTAAGCATTCAATATATATTTAATGAAAGAATGAAACAGGCCAGATCTTTCCAATCTGAATAACTAAGTGTTGGACCTAAGTACATGTATTAAAAAGAACTAGGCTGAAAATAAAATAGTGTGCATCTTTCTTATAAAGGTAGTAACTACTTAAGTCAAAGAACCCAGAAATATTTCTAAAGCAACAATAATTGCTACTGAGAAATGAAATAATAAATGTTAAGAGTACAGAGAATAAACAGTGGTTGTTTGCTAAGAGATTCTGCTTACTTAAATTTAGTATCACATTATCAACCAGATAAGATTTTGGATCTATTATCTAGCCTACAAATGAAGTTACCCTACAACAGCATATTTGTACTCTCTCTATTATTAATTAAAACAGCCATCTGTCTCCATTTTATTGATGTGGAAATTAAAACATAAGCCTTATTACGATGCCAGTCACAAAGCAAGTAAGTGATCTAGAATGCACTCTAAGAGTCTGTATTATATCCTTATCTGATTCTAGACACATATTTAAACTATGGCACATCACTAAACTATGAATTATTTTTTGAAAACTAGTCAAAAATTTCACTTCTATGCCACCATACAAGGCTTCCTAACAGAAATGACCAATTTAATAACAAATCATAACTTTCCAAAACACAGATGTAAAGAACCCTGAAAGTCAGTTCCAAAGCATTTCCATGTTTTCAAGATATCTTACCCCTTGTAATTCTAAAATATGAAATGTTAGAAATACTAGAAATTCTTATCACCAATTAAGTCAAATCATTAAGATACTTTTATTCATAAAAATACCTGCTAGTATTTTATATTATATGTAGAAAGCATTCTATAAAGAAAAAAGAAAGTAAAAATCATAGATGGATTTTGATTAATTTACTAAAAGGAAGTCCCCCCTCTCCCGCCTTGGTGTGGCACAAATTCACTTAGAACAATGTATTTTAAAACTAAAAGACAGCAATAATAATAATAATAATAATAATAAAAATAAATTAAAAACTGCCTTTAATTATCTTTAATTTCCTTCCTATTTCCTAAATAATACAATAAGGAGTTGTATACATACTGGTGTTTCTAATTCTTCATAAAATATACTAGATTTTAAGGTTAGATGATACTTAATACGATAAGACTATTAATGATTCTTTTGTCCTAATTATTCCTAAAACATGCAGATTCACCGTAAGTAAAAATCCAAAAAAATTACTTAGACTTACCCAGGTTTCCTTGCTCAATTGTCAGCACCACCTCATCCATCACTACAGCCCTGAAGTCCAGTTCCTCCTCACAACATTTGGCCTTTAATGCTCGTAAGATCTCTTTTTGGGGATAGTCTTCCCTGATTCGACGATCTGTCAAAAACCACAACTTGGCAGCCACAGAGCTACACATCTCGATCTGCTTGTTCTTCCTTTTCCTGGATTATTTTCTCCTTAATGTAAACTCTTTCTAGATGGAAGAAAAAATACACATACAAGGTAAATCAAGAAATCAGTACTCAGTTTCTAGCTTTCACACAAATAAACGCTGTGATTATATACTAACTATATGAACAGGAAAAAAATGTATGACATCTTCCCTTTCATTCAAATTAAAAATTTTTATATCACTAGAAATACAGGAACTAATAACCTCTGAGATAAGATTGCTCCATTTTCTTCTGGGGAATCTAGCACTGCAATTTTATAATTATAGCAGCTTTATTAGCAGAAACTTCCAGTACCAGTCCCTGCATTACATATTGTCTAGAAATATAGTTTCATCTGATCATTACTTTTGGCTAACTCAACCCCTCTCCCAAAATTCAAACCCCTTCTTGATATGAAGTAGATTAGATTGTATTCATCAATAATATAGCCCCATTCTCTCCCATCACTACAAAATCCAATTATGTATATTCATGTATCTGTATTTTATTCAATTTCCTTCCTTTTTGTTATACATGTATATTTAATTAAAGTATTTACAGATGTTTTTAAAAATGAGATACCCCATATTACTAGATGACCATCAATACTCAGTCATTTATACAGAAACTTTAATCAAAACAACTTGCAAATGTGGAATAAAACTTTAAATAACCAAAGCACACGCTGAAGTACATTCACAAAACTTGGTTTATTTCAGTCACAGGACAGCATGCTTTTACTCATGTTTTTATTCTTTCTTTAAATACAATTTTTTAAAACAGACACAGCTTATTTACTAGAATGCAGAAAAGGACCTTCTTCCACAAACAAGAATCTGCTGCTTCTCAGAGTTTGTATCATGAGCAAGACAACAGTTAAATATAATTTTCCTAAGAGGCAAAAAATTACAAGTTTTAATAATAAATGTAACAGGTGACTTCAACAAAAGAAAATATTTTTTTACAAAAATTTCTAATATTATTCCAGATGACATGCAAACCTAACACAGAAGAAAAAGACAAGGACAAGGACTAGAGGAAGCAATGCACACTCAGATGGATGACTTCCAGCACCCCAGCAGCTGAAGTGGTCCTTGTGCACCACTCATTCACACACAGTCCTGGGTCTCAGCTAGAAAGAAGGGCTTGCTCCACAGATACAATAAGACCAGAACATTGTGGGATGAAGGCACTGCCAGCATGACCACACGCATGCATGTGCACGTATGCATGCACACACACACACACATACACACAGCTCCCGAACCTTAGCCTGCCATGCCTGCCTACCTGCCACTCACTCAGCTGCCCTACAACCCACAGCCTCAAAGGCATCAGTCACTGGAAAGCAGGGAAAGAATAAATTAACATTGGAGACCGGTACAAGAGAGGGGCTTGTGGCCATGGAAAAGCATGGGAGGGAGGAGCTCTCAACTGTGGTGATGCACCAGGACAAGACCTTAATAACCAGCAAAGGAGATGCCTGATGCCCAGAGCTTCCTGTGCCCGTTCCACAGATGTGATCAAGAACTCGCCCATTCGAGCCCTAAACTACATATGGTAATAATTCAACTTACACACTAGGAAGATGAAATGTGACCTTATAGGGGCTTCCAGCCATTGGAAAGGGTCTCACTCAGAAAAAGAGCTCCACAAAAAGAAGCCACAGCAGAGTACCTAATGTAGAGATCCCGTTTCCCTTGAGGGGAAACTATAAAAATGTCCTTACAATGTTTATATCGGTAGGTTTTGAAACACCCTATCATTGACCTCCAGTATTCTGAGGCCATCTCAGAGCCTCCACTGAACACTTAGTTCTTGAATATCATCTGTTCACCAACATCAGTGAATTTTATTGCATGAAACTGTACTGCATAAGTACAGCAGTTGGGACCTCAACAGAAATCAGGATGGGATGTTATAGCCACTAGTAACTGGAACACAGGAACATTCTGCTGTGTTAGCTCTCAGAAAAATGCCCAGCTGCAACATTAACACAACATGGTATTTTCAATGATTCTATAGTCAGAAAGTAACACACTCCAGGGCTGCAATCTCACAGTACTGCAGCAACTCCTGCCAGATGATGGATGTGAACCTCTCCATCTTATCTTGACCTCAAGGCCACAGCTCTGATATCCTTGCATAAAGTTTGGGTGTTTGTACACAAGTATGCAACCTACAATTGCATGTTAAATTAGGCTCCCCAATCTCCTTTCATTTTCTTTTTAATGAGCTCCAAATCTTCTTAATCCTGAGATTCTAACAAAGAAAATTAGGTTCCCTCTCTGGAAGAGTTGAAGCAAAGCCAGAGATCTCATCATTTGCCAAGATGGACCACATCTTTTCATGATGCATGCCCTGATCTGGCACTGGAGGAATGCTTTTGCCTGCAGAAGACTCTATAAGAGGCAGAGGCTGTGCTGAAGTTGAGCATCAATACCATTTGGCTGTGGTTCCTCACAGACTGTCTAGTGGCAGGAACATGGCAGGATCAGGGAAGCCTTGTGACCTCCCCCTGCACTGAGGTATCTTTGGTCACCTGGAATACATTTTATCAGCTTCTCTTGTAAAGATTCAGAGGTATGCCACATAAGTGTTCCAACTCATTCTTCCTGTACACCAAGTAGATGACATCCTCAGGTGGTAAAGGGCAAGTCAGCTTAAGCTTGTTAACTACTATTCCATGGGTGTTGGTATCATCAAGAGACACCTGTCCAGATTTTTTTAACCACTACAGTTTTACAGTGATCTCCAGACACCAGTTTATTGCAAGGGAATTAAAGAGCACAACCTCTCCTCCAACCAATGGTACACTCGTTTTGACAGGAAGACAAATGGCTGGCTGTCCTCGGTGCCTAGTGCTACTGCATCAGTGGCTGCTTGCCTTTTTCAGGCTGCTCCATTGGGATTCACATCCAATGATACCCAGGGAACAGTCACATGAAGACTCTCCAATCCTAAAGGCAGAGGCTCCACATCCCCCTATCCTGTGGAGGCTGTGGGCCAGGTGGAGACCAACAGGCTGACATCTCCTCTGCTGGCTGCCTCTTTCTCTTTATTTTAAAACATCTACTTTTCTGTTTTTCCCATCTGGTAACATCAAGGAAAAAGGAAAAAACAAAAAAGCTGCTAAGAATTCAAAACAGCAAATCTGCAGTCCAAGAAACCAAAAGCACACCAGTAAGATTTCTGATTGGAAAAAAAAAAAACCACTCAAATTATATTAACTATTTTAAAAGACAGAAGTCTTTTAAAATAGAATGGTTCCTTTTCTCCCCCAACATTTAAAGAAGTAGGTTTGTTTACTCAATAAGCTATCTGTAAGAAAACAATTTATTCTCTGGTAATGTATGATAAATACAGCATCTACAAATATCCACATACCATAGGAGTAAAGTATTACTCCTCTTAGAATGTAAACTCAGATCAACCAATTTCCATCATTTATTTCATTGTGTCAAGGAAAACAATATATAAATATGATACCAAAAAAAATGCTACTGAGAAACTGCTAAAGTAGCTTTTTTTCAAGTAAAGAGAAACTCAACAAAGAAGTTTACTTTGATATTAGAGACAGTTTTCCCATGCAAACTTCTAGATAGGCACAACTTTAAAAAATCACTTTCAAGTGAGAATAGACTAGGCAAGCCTAATTAAATGGGAATCATAAAGTGCTTTGTTCATTTTTCTCCTGAGGCCCCTTCCCAATGGTAATTATCCTGGTAATGATAAAACAAAATCACAATCTACCATCTGAGGATATTAAGGCAACTCTTACTATTTGGAAAATTCTTTATTCCAGATGAGACATAGCATATAAACGCAAAGGACTGAAAAAGAATAAAAGCAAGAGAAGAAAAAAATACATACTAATGTTTCCATCTGGCATTTGCGAGTTGTGCTTTCAATGATGTCGTTCTTTCTTGGATGTGAAATAGAGGCACTGGATTGAGTTCACAGAGAAAACTAACGCATGTGTGATCCTGAGTTGCAGGCACTCCTTCGCAGTCTCCTTTTCTGTGACTTTTCTCCTGACAGCTCTCCTTCTGTACAAATCCCAAGGCTTCATTCTTAAACACTTCTCTCCTTTCTTTAGAAATATCATCCTTAGCCAAGATTCAACTACTATCACTGAAACCTGAATATATCACTGACCTACTAAATAAATACCTCTTTCCAACCAGGAGTTTTCAACTGAATTTCAGGTCCCATTTCAACCTGCCTACCAGGCATCCCTAACCAAATGCTATCCACTGCTGCCTCAGTTGAGCAAGTAAAATAAAAATGAATTTTCACTTTTATTCACATACCCGCTCTGACAGCTGGATTTCCCACTGTGATAGCTAAATTTTATGTGTCAGCTTCGCTGGGCAATGGTGCCCAATGGTTTGGTCAACTGTCTGTTGCTGTGAAGCTATTCTGTAGATGTGATTAACATCTACTATCAGTTGCTGAAGGAGACCACGCTCTATAATGTTGGTAGGCTTGGCCCAATCAATCACTTGAAGGCCTAAAGAGCAAAAACAGGTTTCCCAGAAAAGAAGGAACTATATAGAGAGAGACAGACAGACAAAGATACTATGTATATATATGTAATTTCCTATTGGTACTATTTCTCTGGAGAACCCAGACTGATATATTCATCCTAATTAAGGAACTTAAATCAGAAACCTGGGTATCATTTTTTACTTCCATCCTTCCTTCTGCTTAAACGAACATGCATACCACAGTAATTCCATCTCCTAAATATCACTTGAATTATACTCTTCATCTCCCGTACATTTACCATGTAACACCTGAGAATACTAAAGAAGCCTCCAAATTAATCTTCTACCCTCCATTCTCTTTCATTTTCCAATTTTCTGAACACATAATATTGTCTCATCCTCCTTTGGCTTGGAATATGTATCCTAGACCTAACTACTTACTAAACTTTAGGCTCAGATGTTAACACACCTATTAACTCCTGACTCCTAAAAATCATCCTAAATCCATGAGTCATTATTTTATTATATATATATTCTAGTGATTATCAGAC